ACAGTAGAAAGGCATCATGGCACACTCACAAACTAGCATGTAAAACAACTTGTCTCACCACTAAGGACAATGACAGAGGTTTGGATACACGTCTTCTGCAAAGGATGTGTAAGCCGCACTGCCGCGCCAAGGCACCTCTTATAGTGCGGTCCTAACTCTAAACTATGAGAGTCTCCATCTTGGAGCACATGGGGCAGAAGATATCAAATTGGGTGCAGGCTTGTCAGGAGGACGCCCCACCTCCTTAAAGGTACAGAAACACACAAGGGATCCCTCCAATTTGATATCATCTGCCCCATGTGCTCCAAGATGGAGACTCTCATAGTTTAGAGTTAGGACCGCACTATAAGAGGTGCCTTGGCGCGGCAGTGCGGCTTACACATCCTTTGCAGAAGACGTGTATCCAAACCTCTGTCATTGTTCTTAGTGGTGAGACAAGTTGTTTTACATGCTAGTTTGTGAGTGTGCCATGATGCCTTTCTACTGGATCTGTAGCCTTGTTCCCCCTTCTGCTCCCTCCCTGTGATTTCCAAAATTAATTTATCTGACATTTTTCACAAATAATTAAACAAAATGTACAACTGGTGCACGTGTCATTCTGTATTACTCCCCCCTCAATACACAGAGCTGTGTCCAGGAGGGTGCTCTTGCTATACAGGTAGGGCCCATGTAAGTCTATGGCACATGAGTGTGCAGGCACGGGGACCCCAGCATTGGATTTTTACCGGGTAGGCTGCAGCCATCAGTAAGTACGGACCGGCACAGGGAGGGGGTGCAGGTGTTAAGCTCTGTGTATTGAAAGGAGATGGTTTGGGTGATTCCATTAACAAAAGTAACCATGTACTTTAGGGGTTCAGATGGGGTCCATTTTCTTATTACTACAGAAGAACCGCTGACAGGTGGGGAGGGGATGAAATGGAACACATGGACCAAAAAAGTCAAAATTAATTTGGCCAATTTCTTCAGTAGGGGGAACAAAAGAAAAGACAGACAGGTGTAGAACTTCCCTTCACCCTCCACCTGAGTTATGTCATCATCCCCCTCTCCTCCTGTGATCCTTCAGACCTGAGCACATCTTTATCCTCAGATTCATCACCACCAGCAGGCCCTGAATGGATCATCAGAAGCAGAATCTGTACATGAGGGCAGCCATATTTCATCAAGGGATACTCATCCTCTCTTTCCAGTTTTGCATCACAATACGAGTCTATGAGCCGGCCAACCCGCTGAACACAATACACTCCATGTGCGGCTAATGTCTTATTTCAGCAGCTGTTAAGCAGTTGAGTGGAGTCGTTTTAATGGTTAATTTCCCCTTCTTCTACTGGTTATTACAAAATTCTTCACATAACTGTGTAATAATGTGAACATCACATGAGAAACTGCAACATGACAAATGCTGCAATAAGAACTCCAAATATGAGCTCTGTGAAATGTCCTCTCGCTCCGTGTCATTCATACTTACCTTACTTGCTCATCATGTTATACTTTCCTCCACAGGACGGAGCTCTTTGTCCCCAGCAGTGGGGCCCGAGATAAAGCTGTGAAACTTCTGATTGTAATAACTGATGGACAGACGAATGGAGATGACAGGGATCTTCAGGATTCAGCCAATGAGGCGAGAGGAAGAGGCATAGTGGGCTTCGCCATTGGGGTAAATGTCTCAGAAATGTATAGATGTTCCACATGCGTCACATCTATAGGAGAGAACTCATAGTAGGGTGGCTTCCCACTGGCTAGTCATCTCCACACATTGGGTCCCATGTTGGCTTCTTGTGCCTTTGGGGTTTTTGGCATTACTACTAGGATTACCGGCTTCATCCAACAGCTGCAACTGGTTCAAACTCAAAAGTAGAAGTTCCCTTTAATAAACATAAATGGATAGTAGGACGCATTATCACTGAAGAAAACATACAGCTAGGTTCCATAGCTTCTAACCGAACTGTGTCTATAGTGTGCTTGTGATACTCTAATAGGGACAGCGAAGTGTAAGCTCCTGTGGTGCAGAGACTCATAAGTGTTCCTTACCATAAGGCAGAGCTTTCTAAGTGTAACACTACTGCCCCCAGGGGCATGTGATGTGACCCTCACCTGACCTACCAGGTGTACACTCTGAATGCCCCAATCCAATTCTTTGAGAAAATTCCACATTCGCATTCCATTCTCATGGCTGTATACTTGGCTTGTACTGGGTAAAGGTGTCAGTCACAAGTTTTATTGCTGAGCACATAACAGGAGAGGGAACGGGATGACAGAGGGACCTGCTGATGGAAGTCTCTGGGTTCCTGTTATGTGTGCTGCATGTTTTTCCCTTAGGGTTAGTCAAGAAGGACTGTGCTGATATTATCCATAAAACAACTATCACGTACCTGGTGGAGGCCTTGATGACAAGAGGGCTTCCCTTACACCTCTGGTCCAGGCCCCCCTGGAGGAGAGTGCAGGGAGTGAGAGGGCACAGAGTAGCATGGGTGCCGGGAGTGCAGATCACAGAAACAGCTGAGCAGGACTCTGGAACACAGTGACTACGGTATATTTTCAGTAGTTAGACAGAGTCAACTGGACTTGATCTGAAATGCTGAAGATATTTTGGAAGCATGGTGAAGACAAGCAGAAATCGGTGGCCGAGAAGACTGATAGCAGTCAGGGAAGCAAGCCAAGTGGTAGTCAGGAGGCAGGTCAAGGTTACAAGAGAAGATCAGCAGAGGAAAGTCTTGGTCAGGAACCTTGCCAAGGTCAAACTGCAGATAACAGAGACAGGCCAGGATCAGGAACTTAACCAAGGTCAATAACAAGGCAGCAGAGAAGTCCAAGGGCAAGCCTAATCATCACCAGGAAGGAAATCAGAATCAGGTTCAGGTTTAAGTTGCAGGGTAGCATCTGATGACCATTCAGCAGCTTCCCAGCTCAGCAATGTTTTCCAAATAGGCCATCTGGCACCAAGCATGGAATTAGCCTGCAAGCCCATGTATCTGAGTGACGTGCTCTTGTAGATAAGTGTGCCTGCGGGAATTAGCCTGAGTACATGAGTTAGCAGCTCATGAGTACGTCTGCCTACACAGTTTAAAATGAACCTTGCCCTTTGCCCCTGGTCAGTCACAAGAGCCAATGATTTGAAGGAATAACCCAGCCCCCTTTCTATGAAAGTGTGTGTGGTGGACTGAACCTAGTGATATGTTATTCCAAGCCTTCAATGTGCTGCCAGCATGGCCAGTAGTTATTGCATAATATTCTATTTTACCCACAGGTTGGTGGTGCCTTCAGATCGACAGATGCCTATGCAGAATTACAAACCATTGCATCATCCAGGGACCGGATCTTTCAAGTCACCGACTTCTCTGCCCTCTCCCAGTTCCAGAAGACTTTGCAGGAGAAGATCTTTGCCATCGAAGGTTCCTTGTTCAGTTTTTCTTTTATATGAATATTTTTCCTTTTAAGATCTGTCGTTACCTCTCATACAGGAAGACTATTACCAGAGCCCCTGTCCATAGAAATGATCAGAAGATATCATATTTGTCAAAGTATCTCTGCGAAGGTTCTAATCTATTCTGACCACGGCATATCTTCACTAGTTAGTCACGTTCAACTGGACCTGTTATAAAATGCTGAAGATGTTTTGTAGATTTTCCACTTTCCTCAGATCTAATGAGTGTCAGGAACAGACCCCAGTATTTATAGCGTCAAGGCAGATGTTGATTATCCAAGAACAGGATGGAAGGTGTAAATGTTTGTGATACTAGCCTGTTCTAGTAACCTAATCCAATCATCATAGTCCTATGAAGTGTGGGACATGATCAGGCCCCATAACACAATTTTGATGGGCAGCAGTGCTGTGGATAGAAGTTGCAATGGAAAAGGAGACAGCAGTTCCGGAAATCAACCTTCATTTTCCAGCGTATTCCTCTGCGCTCAGTAGCTCACCAATCTTTTTAGCATCAACTGATCCTTTTAGTGGTATCCAATCTCAGGTGTTTCATTCAAATTCTCCCATCCCGTCCACTGACGCAGCAAGCAAGGCCTGAAGGAGAAGGCCTAGTAACCAGTAAAGAGAAAGTTGTGTCAATAATAATGACTAATGCTCCTGCACACAATCACTCTATAACCCCAATACAAAAATTCTTAAACTGGGTTTTATTTCTGCAGAAACTACAAATCTTAGCTGTTGGATAGCTGGGGAGACATGCTGAAGGGGTACAAGGAACACCTTTATTGTTCTCAGCCAAGGAATTAGTCCATCAGGGAACCTTATCTATGTCTGTGCACTTGGATGCCGGTAGATGGATAGACTTCTTGAAGATAACAGGAATGAGAGTTGAATGAAATCCTCCTTATTCCTCGGATTCATCCATTTCTCTATCACTCATTACAGTTATAGAACACAGATTACTGATGGTGGAGAACATGTTACACTCAAGTTGAGGATGAAGCTATGGGTGAACTCCCAGAATTTGGTCAGTTTCTGAGGGGAGTGTATCCTCACTGATCTCTCTCTTCCACAGGAACGCAGTCACAGGACGCAACTTCATTCCAGATGGAGATGTCCCAGGAGGGGTTCAGTGCCATCCTAACACAGGTCATTGACATGTATTAGAAGAAGAAATCATACCGCCTTCGGCATCATTACTATTTTTACTGTCCCTGCTTTCATCACTATCGCCACCACTGGCATCATATTACTACATATTACATGAGGACCATAGACATTATATTACAGTTTTTGGCCGTGTAGTGATCTAATGTCTATTGTCTACTTATCCAAAGACACCGTTAGCTGAGGCTCATCCATTGGCATAGTGTCTAAACATGTTGGAGAACATTTACCAATTACAGTTATTCCTCCCCTAATAAGCTGAGGCTGGAGGTGATTGCAGCTCACTCCCCCCACCATGTTCCAGGCCTCAGAACATGAATTGTGACCATTTGTTTTTAAGAAGCTCAGTCCATTATAAGTACTTGAGGAAGGTCGGATCATGCTTCCCTATGCAACTGACCTTATGACTAGCTTAAAAATAACCCAAGCAACAGCAATACCTTAAATTTCCTTCATTGGGGAGCTTCCTTTAATGATGGATCTCCTTCATTGGTGAGCCTTCTTTAGTGGGGAGCTTCCTTTAATGATTGACCTACTTCATTGGTGAGCCTTCTTTAGTGGTGAGCTTCCTTTAATGATGGACCTCCTTCATTGGTGAGCCTTCTTTAGTGGGGAGCTTCCTTTAATGATTGACCTACTTCATTGGTGAGCCTTCTTTAGTGGTGAGCTTCCTTTAATGATGGACCTCCTTCATTGGTGAGCCTTCTTTAGTGGGGAGCTTCCTTTAATGATTGACCTACTTCATTGGTGAGCCTTCTTTAGTGGTGAGCTTCCTTTAATGATGGACCTCCTTCATTGGTGAGCCTTCTTTAGTGGGGAGCTTCCTTTAATGATTGACCTACTTCATTGGTGAGCCTTCTTTAGTGGTGAGCTTCCTTTAATGATGGACCTCCTTCATTGGTGAGCCTTCTTTAGTGGGGAGCTTCCTTTAATGATTGACCTACTTCATTGGTGAGCCTTCTTTAGTGGTGAGCTTCCTTTAATGATGGACCTCCTTCATTGGTGAGCCTTCTTTAGTGGGGAGCTTCCTTTAATGATTGACCTACTTCATTGGTGAGCCTTCTTTAGTGGTGAGCTTCCTTTAATGATGGACCTCCTTCATTGGTGAGCCTTCTTTAGTGGGGAGCTTCCTTTAATGATTGACCTACTTCATTGGTGAGCCTTCTTTAGTGGTGAGCTTCCTTTAATGATGGACCTCCTTCATTGGTGAGCCTTCTTTAGTGGGGAGCTTCCTTTAATGATTGACCTACTTCATTGGTGAGCCTTCTTTAGTGGTGAGCTTCCTTTAATGATGGACCTCCTTCATTGGTGAGCCTTCTTTAGTGGGGAGCTTCCTTTAATGATTGACCTACTTCATTGGTGAGCCTTCTTTAGTGGTGAGCTTCCTTTAATGATGGACCTCCTTCATTGGTGAGCCTTCTTTAGTGGGGAGCTTCCTTTAATGATTGACCTACTTCATTGGTGAGCCTTCTTTAGTGGTGAGCTTCCTTTAATGATGGACCTCCTTCATTGGTGAGCCTTCTTTAGTGGTGAGCTTCCTTTAATGATGGATCTCCTTCATTGGTGAGCCTTCTTTAGTGGGGAGCTTCCTTTAATGATTGACCTACTTCATTGGTGAGCCTTCTTTAGTGGTGAGCTTCCTTTAATGATGGACCTCCTTCGTTGGTGAGCCTTCTTTAGTGGCGATCTTCCTTTAATGATGGACCTCCTTCATTGCTGAGCCTTCTTTAGTGGTGAGCTTCCTTTAATGATGGACCTCCTTCATTGGTGAGGCTTCTTTAATAGGCAGTTGTCCCTGTTGCTCTTTTATTAAAGAGGCTTGGGTTTTAGTTCTGGTGGTGGCGTGTGTATAATCTTCTGTCCTGCAGACCATCTCTCATTTAACCCAATCTTCTCCTCTTCAGGATGGGCCCATCCTCGGGGCAGTAGGTGCTTATGGCTGGTCAGGAGGGGTATCAGTTTACACTGCCGGGCAGCAGAATGGTACATGGATAAACGCAACAAAGGATCAGACGGACATGAGGGACTCTTATATGGGTGAGAGGATTATTTTCTCCTACATGAAGCTGTCATTGTTGGTCTTCTCTGCCAATGATGGTCCCAATGATGGTTCCCCCCTCATAATGACCCAGTAAGGACACAGACCGGGAACTCTGTTGTCCCACCCAGACAGTGTACGCTGAGCTGGTAATAATTATGCAGTAGTGAAGGAGGCAGACACACATTTTGTGAGGGTGTCTAGCACCTGTTCTGTGTTGTAGCTGTTCCTATTTGTACGGAAAAGCAGGAAAAGTGATATTTTGGTCATTTTTTGGTGATTTCTGAAGTTCCTAAATGTGGCACTTTCATTACACTTCAGTAGCAGAGTTGTATTTGTGCGTGTACATATATAACATCTTTGAATCTCTGTAGGTTATGCTGTACAGAATGTAGCGAAGGACAAAATAGCAGTTGGGGCTCCAAGATACCAACACACCGGGAAGGTCCTCATCTACACAAAAGACCCCAGAAGTAGCCAGTGGAGGCACATGGCCACAGCCAATGGAGAACAGGTAAGCCAGCAACAGTCAGGAGAAAACTGGGAATTACAATGGCTTGACAGACCTCATTCACCATTGTGTGTGAAAAAAGAACTGTCTGTGCTCTAACTAAGAATTCAGCCCTTAGAAGTCCACAAGGAGAGGTCAGTTCTGCGGTGAATATACTCTGCAGACCTCACTGGAGGCCGTGTTGGGAATGTTATACAGCCAACCTCATTGTATCGAATGTGACAGGATATTCAGAAGTCTTCCAGTTATCAGCTATTTTATATCATTTTATAGTCTGTCATCACTGTTTCCGCCTCGTACATAGATACAAATGTCAGAGGTGATAAAAGAATAGGACAATCTATGAAGTCCTCAGAAGGGAAGGATGAGACATATTCCACCTGATGGAAGACACCATCTGGGTTCCTCTACTGATTCCTGTGCATATCACTTCTATTGTTCAGACTCACAAACCAAGCAGCCATTCAGACTTTAAGTGTCATGGATAGTGGTCTGTATCCACTGAGAGAAGAACTGTCCAGCTGTTGTTTGGAGGCCCAGGGGTCATGGTGGTGCACTTGAAGACATGAGCCATACAGGGATACACTAGGAGTCACTAGATGACACTGGGACTGGGGGCACACTTGGAGTCTCTGGGTACACTGTGGCACACTAGGAGATACAAAATACCAGAGGCTGGAGGCAGACAGGGAGGTCACAAGAGGCATGAGGGTACAAGTAAGCAGTACTGTAGGATGCTTGGCTAAAGTGTAGCGACACGTTGCTTAAAAGCCACGCAAAGGCGGCAACAATCAAGAGAGCTGTCACCTGACTGGAAGTGCCAGGGACCACATGGCAGAGAGGAGACCTAGCGCTGGATCCCTGGAGAGGTGAGTGTGACATCTTGAATACTGAACATGACCTAATCTATTTGTCAACTAGGAGTGAGCGAGACCGAGAGTTGTCTCATCGCTGAAATGTTGGTCAAAAAAAAGGACGTTCCACCTGAACGTTTCCCTTTAGATGAAATGTCTCGAAGTCAATAAGGACGGTGAATTTATGCTGTTTATGGGGCCCCTGAGGGTTAGAGAAGCTCTCGTCACCTACGACAAGCCTGTTTGTTGAGCCAATAAACGTCTCCTCCATATCTGTGAATCTGATATTGGATACTGAGGAGAAGAGGAACTGAACCTTTAATACAAATGGCCACAAAAATATCATTCAAACTTGTATTATTTGTCATGGGGTGCAGTCTTCTTTATGTATTTCTATAGCTGCACATCGCATGCACCTAGAAAGAGATACAATGGCGGCCGCTACTGACATAACTTTATAAAAAGATATACTCTACTGCAAGGGTAGCCTAACTCCAGCCCTCCAGCCGTGGAGGAACTACAAATCCCATGAGGCATTGCAAGATTCTCACAGCCACAGACATGACTCCCGGAGAGGGATGCATCATGGGATTTGTAGTTTTACCACAGCTGGAGGGCTGGAGTTTGGCTACCCCTGTTCTACTGGGTCCTCTCAGGGCTAAACACCAACAAAAAGCTTCAGTTGTCTGCTGCATATCCTCTTCTTTATGGTCACCGGCTGACATCTCTTGAACACAGAAAGCAAAGTATCCATTGACTTTGTCCACGTTCTTCTCACATTGTGCTGCACATTGTTCTTCCAGATCGGTTCATACTTTGGGTCGGTTCTGAGTGTCCTTCAAAATTCACAACAACCTGTCCTTGTGGTTGGAGCTCCAACATATTACTCTCCAGAGGTGCCAAGCGGACGGGTGTACCTGTGTCCCATCCCCACTCAGGTGAGGTCTTCATTACAGTAGACAAGATTACTCCCGATATGGAGGTTGTTAACTGGATGGAACCAGTGAGAATGGACATCATCAATGGTTCTGATTGTATATAGAATTGTACAGGTGATGGGAATGAACGGTGACACTCATGAGCAGTTAGTGCAACTCTATATTTTTTAGAGTTTTTGGATGGAGTGCGGGAGGGTTAGTACCCCTGTCTGGGTTTCATTGCTGTCTGGGTCCCTTCAGGGGATACTCACCCCTATGTTTGTACTGGTAACCATTGTCAATGGAACTGAATGTGAGGGAAAACCTAAAATTCTGAGTTGTCCCTAGAACAGGAATAGGGGGGAAATCTCCCAATAGGGACACCTGTTCCTGGGACAACTCTCTAAGACGGGGCTTGATGAAAAAAAAAGATCTGACGGGGGTTTAACCGTTCCGTAATATATCCAAATTTAAACAAAAAGTGTTGCTTTAGATTTACATTAATGAGTACTAATATCATTTAATTTCTGTGTATTTGTGTGAACTTTCCTTCCTGGCTTTGCAGATGTTGAGCACCACTGTTCTGTCTCTTAGTTTTGCTATAACAAGCAGAATGTTACAGTTCCGATGTCTCTGAATTCAGGTCACGGGTCCTCAACCCATTACCATCTCTTGCCCAGTAACCCTTCACGGAGACTCCAACCAAGCTGTGGGCCAGTTTGGTTCTGCCATCACCGTCCTACCTGACCTGACTGGAGATCAGCTGCCAGACCTGGCTGTGGGAGCCCCGTATGAGGACAATTATCAGGGAGCTGTCTACATCTTCCCAGGTCAGGGGAACAGCTTCAGAACATCATATATTCAGGTAAAATCAGATGATTTCTATAGTCCATGGCCTAATGGTATTATTATTTCTGTGTGTGTCCTTCAAGACCTAATGTTCTGCATTATCCAAAGTTCTTGTCTATGAATCCTCTACATGACCTGATGTCCCTGTCATTGGCATCCTATATCGTAAAATGTCCTTGTCGGTGGTTGTTATACATGATAGAAATCTCTGTTGCTGGGTTTCCCACATTGCCTAATCACTTGGTGTTGTACATGGCCTAACGTCCCAAGCACTTGGTGTTGTACATGGCCTAACGTGCCAAGCACTTGGTGTTGTACATGGCCTATTGTCCCTGTCACTAGATGTCCACCATGACCTAATATCCCTGTAGCTGTGTGTCCTACATGACTTAATGTCCCTGTCATTGGTGTCCTACATGACCTAATATCCCTGTAGCTGTGTGTCCTACATGACTTAATGTCCCTGTCATTGGTGTCCTTGATCATCTTTCATGTGGTGTAGAAGTCTTCTACCTCTATAATCATCATACTAGATGAGAACCCACCATGTACCCGTCTCTTCCTGATTTCTCTTTCTGTGTCATCCTTCCACAGAGGGTAACTGGTAGTCTGGTCGGCAGTGGCATAAGGTTTTTCGGGAGGTCTGTAAGTGGGAATCTGGACATGACGGGGGATACAATTCCAGATGTCACCGTCGGAGGTGAAGGCCGAGTCATTATACTAAAGTAAGAAGGGATTATCCTGAAGCCTCTACTCCATGCAGATGGTCAGGAAAACACCAAGGAATACAATTATTTTGTACCTACATCTTTCCTGATATTGACCTCCAGCAATTCCCTACACAGCATTAATGTCCTTATAGATGGACCGGGATAGTATAAGGTATTCCTGGCTCACAGCAATTCACCCGCTGGGTTCAATACTAAGCTGATATTTGAAGGAACAGAAAAGTGATGGGTACAACAAAAAGTCCTTCTCAGGTCATGGTGCAACATCACTTGTGGCTTCAGAGGGCCAAGGGCTAGCCACCCATATTGCCTGTGGTCTCCCTGCAGCTGGTCTTTTTCAAGTTACTGACTTGACATGCCTTATTCAGTGCTGTGTTTCTGTAGGGGGGGGGGGGGAACCATCTTGGTAAAGGCAAGGTGTTGCTTCCTCATGTCTGATCTACCCCCTTGATGACTGGGGATCTGATGACTGGTTGGGTAATGATAGAGGAGGAGGAAGCACAGATCCACAGAATGGATATAGCAGAAGCAGGGAAATGCTTGCACTGCAGCTCCTCAGATTCAGCTTCCTCTCCAGGAAGGAAAACAATGAGCAGCACAGTAGTGACATCACCAAATCTCACCCCAAACCTGGTGAGACCGGCAGGCAGAGGCAGCACAACCCTAGATTGTCTCACAGTACAGATATACAGCTCTGAGGATACAGCCTAGGAACTGGAAGAGCGCTGAAATCAGAAGTGCCTAGGCACAGGAAGTGCACCGATATCAGGAGTGCCTTGTCACAGGAAGTGCACTGATATCAGGAGTGCCTAGTCACAGGAAGTACACTGATATCAGGAGTGCCTATGCACAGGAAGTGCACTGATATCAGGAGTGCCTCTGCACAGGAAGTACACCGATATCAGAAATGCCCAGGCACAAGAAGTAAACTGCTACTTTTAAAGAGGAATTTCAGGGAAAAGGCAGATTTGTCAGGGTACTGCTCAGGCACAAGTAACAGATCCCTATATATGGATGTTCCCTATCAGAAAGCAGATATTTACTTTTTGCATTCAGGTCACATAAAACTTACATTTGTGGATGTGATGTTACTTATATTCCTATAACGTTGTCACCCGTCACATTGTGGTCACTTCCTCCTTCTGTCTCCCCTTCAGATCTCGCCCAGTGGTTGGTCTGTCGGTGTCCATGACATTTAATCCACAAAAAATTCAACTTGATTCCTACGAATGTTCTGTCCAGCAAAGAAAGGAACTGGCAACAAACGTCACTTTGTGCTTCACCCAGGAAGTGAAGAGCACCCAAGTCACAGGTAAGTCTCACTGTTATATGTGGGGAATGAAGGAGGCAAATGTGATGCAGATATAAGAGCTCCCTCTAGTGGCGATCTGTATGTCAGAGAGTATGATCAGCATCCCTGCCTGAGCACCTGCTGCGTGATGCTGTTTTTTTCAGTGTACATCAGGGGTAGCCAAACTCCTGCCCTCCAGCTGCGGTGAAACTACAAATCCCATGATGCATCTCTCGCCGGTATTCATCTCTGTGGCTGTGAGAATCTTGCAATGCCTCATGGGATTTGAAGTTCCACCATGGCTGGAGGGCTGGAGTTTGGCTACCCCTGGTGTACATGATGGACAAACATGGCTGTTGTTGGGCAGTTGCTGTGGCCTCAGGGTAGCAGGGTAGTGAGACGTTGTCTCATCCAGGACATACAGCAAGCAAATGGCATCAAATGGAAAGCAGACATTTTTATTGGTAGAGGCTTGAAGATTAATTCTGCATTTCAGTTTTAATACGCTGTACAAAGCCTGTTCCCTCTCTATCCCAGCCCAGAGCCTATGGACCCAAAGCCTGTTCCCTCTCTATCCCAGCCCAGAGCCTATGGACCCAAAGCCCACAGATCAGCCTCATGGATGTTCTTCCACAATTCAGGAGCACTGTGCACAGCCTCTCTCACCTCTTCCCAGCCTGTCCTTTGACTGATCCATTCATTAGACAGTGCCTTGGGGAGGGTGTGGGGTGACCCAGTTCCTGGCCTTTAGAATATGGTAGATCCCATCGCACTCCTGACAGGAAAACCCCAAAGTGCGGGGGGTGGGTGCTGGAGTGACTGCAGATACCTCTGCATGTCAGAAACTGTAACTGGTAGAAAGTCACTTTTGTTTTGCATGAAGAGGAGACCAGACGGCCTCGAAAAGTTGCTAAAGTTATGTGACACTTTGATGGCCAATAAAGAAGATTGACTACAAATGTTTCTGGAGTGCGAGTGACATTCTACCACTTCCAGTTCCTGGCCTGACCCCTCTATGTTCTCAATTGTCTACCTTTCCACCCAGGTCAGGAGTGAATAGAAGGATACATAGCGACCTTCATCCCACACACCGTCTCTTTTCCCTCCAGGTGAAATCTCTGCAAGAGTTAACTACACTCTCCTGCTGGACTCGGCAGTCACTTCGACCCGAGCGGTCTTCTCCAAGCAACCTGACACCCAGACAGCAAGCCGGTTAATGGACCTCAAAGTGGGGCAGAATTGTGCCAAGCACCCCATCCTCCTTCCTGTAAGTTTCAGCTGTCCATGCCTGTCTGTCCTGGTGACAACCACACCCCCATTTCCTGTACGGGTTTTGTAGGAGCAGGATGTTTGGGGGGCAACCTCACTCATGGCGTACCTGACAAAACTAATAACCTGACCAGAATTCCCACTCTTCCTCGCTTTATTCATCACTAAAAATGTTTTTGATGGAGTTAGGCTTTTATAAAGCTCAGTCTGACTCTGGAGGACCACAATCCAGACTCCCTCCAGGATCTAAACCTTATTCCTGCCAGCATTAAACTACAGACATTGACTGACCACACCGACCTGGCTTCATACAATGGCGGAGCGGTATTAGCAATATTACATCCCGGGTGGCAGTGGTGGGTTTGGATTGTGGTCCTTCAGAGGTCTCTTTTATGAAAATACTCATGACAGGTTGGAGTTCTCCTTCCTCACTCCATGCAGTTGGTACCTGAACAGCCAGAAGTAAAGTCACAGAACTGCTGTCCATACGGGGGACCATTTTAGTTTAATAAAACTGTAACTTGTAGGATTCATGCTGGAGGTCTGAGGATTAATACTTCCCACTCCTCTACTAGCAATATTTATTAATCAGATCAGCATTAAGGTGCCTTTTTCAAACTAAACAAACCCAGTTCTTCCAACCTTTTTGTCGCAGAGCACAGAAGCGTGTGTGTTGGCAGAAACAACAGCCATAAACAGGCAGGACGGATGTTCTCAGATAACTGACCTCACTTTAAAGTCCACTAATAAAGGCTGGTGTGTACAGCAAAGACCAGAGCTGTGATCCCGGGGGAATGACCAGCAGATGGTGAAGGTTTAGGTTGATTTTCACATTTTCATTATGGTGAAGGCCTCCCGCTGAATCCAAATATCCTTCATATCTACTTTATTGTTTCTCTCTGTGGTATCACAATGACAATATAACACCGATGGCCAACATTTCATTTCCAGGATCAGGAAAGTCTCACGCCCTCTGAACATAGGAGGTTCCTATACAGTATATGAGCCATGTGCACAGATAACACGTGTCCTCTTTGTTTCATCTCCTCTGTGTCTCAGGGCTGTGTGGAGGACTCTCTGACTCCTCTCCGGGTGTCTCTCAGTTACTCTCTTATGGGAAATCCTGTGCTAAGTGAGGACTCGAGGACCAGCCATGCTGAAGAGGTATGAGGAGCGTACACCCAATATACTGCATTACTGATAGCTGATCGCACTCATATCACCACATTACTCAGCTTCAGTAGCACAATCAAGTCTGAGAATATGAAAAGTTCCCTCCCAGACTGGTGGCAATTTATTGATCCGGGGGCAGATGATGAACTTCCTGCCGGCCACTAGGATAGGACTCAGTATAGGAGTTATCTATGGACTGGCCACAGTACCTGCCACTTAATCATTTCATAGAAAACCTACAAATCCCAATAGTGATCATAGTGAAGAACAAAGGACATATTGTAACAGGAAATAAACATCATTATTACCCCAAGGCCTAGCCCAGCCCAAAGCCAGACTGCCCCTAGTCTGTTGTAGTGTTTGCTGTGGGCTGTAGGCAGCATGAGACTTGCTCATGTTATCTGGATCATTAGGTTTCTCCTAAGCCCAAGAACATTGTTCCCTTCTACCTGCTTCTGCTGAGTCTTCTCTAGTGTATAGAATGAGAAGATACAATGCATTGGGTTATGAAATTCATTCTGCTCCGGTGAATCAGTGAGGGGGGAGGGGTTGACAATGATGTGAGCTGGGGAAGAGGATAAATGTTTGGAAACACCTTTTAGAAGAGCCCCTTCTCTCCGAGACTGTGCCCGGAATGAATGAGCACAGAAGGGCCTGGCCTCCTAGGCCTTTGCCTGGGTAAGGTGAACTTCAAGAGGTCATGTTGCCTCCCAGGCACCTTTGCCTTGAGGAGAACCAAGAAGAGTGTTTTTTTTTTCTGGGCCAAGAGTGTCCTAAACTGGCCTGTGAGTGGGGTATGAAGAGTTCTAACTTGGTATGTGGCAGAGGCCAAAGAAACTAAAAGGTAGCCACCTGTCTGGGTCTACAGAGTTCTACATTAGCCTGTGGCAGAGGCATAAAGATACTAGAAGACCAGAGCCCATCTGGACCTAAAGAGTTCCCTGACAAGTGTATTGTGCAGAATGCAGAATTGTGGCTGTTTTATTGGTATACTGTACCCGTTAATCCTCTCTACCCAAGACAACTGAGCCATTACATTGCAAGAAAGGAATTGAAGGGTCACACTTCTGTCTGTGTGTCGGTGGTCAGGGAGTGTTAGGGTGTAGCTACATGGAAGGTCACCAGAAAGGGAATGCAGGAGAGGCCATTAAAATCCAGCAGTTCCTTTGATGGTCATTGCCACAAATTTAAGAGAGGATTGTGCTAAACACAGTGATGGAGCTTAGCTATGCACATTCAAGACTCACATTCTGCTGTCCAGCACGTGATTGGCTATATGCGGAGCAGAGAATGTTAAAATGTTTTCATATCTTTGCAGGTCCCATTTCAGAAGAATTGCGGTGGTGATGATGTGTGTGAAGATGATCTGAGGCTGGCCATCAACTTTGCTAGGTGAGACAGACCTCCTGAGTGTAGTCAGACCCATGCTGGTCCTCCCATTGCTGACAGGTATCTTATCTCACTCTGACAGTGTCACCCAGCTTGTGGTCGGGACGTTGCTTGACATCAATGTGACAGTCTCTGTGGAGAGTTTAAAAGACGACTCGTACAACACTCGTGTTCTGCTCCCCTTCCCTGTCGGCTTGTCATATCGTAGGGTGTCTCTTATTGAGGTAATAGAGGGCTCTCTATCTGCGGGTCTCCCTAAGATTGCTGAGTCTAAATCTTAGTTTGTATGTCTTGTAGAGTAACAAGAAAGTGACAGTTCTCTGTACCACCCTGGAGGGTCAGAGAGTGGTGAACTGCGCAGTGAACAGACCTCTGCTGAGACCCAATACCACGGTAAGAGTGCAGGAGAGGAGGCTGGAAACAGAGTTTGAGTAGGACATGAAACATATTTCTTATTACTGGATCCCACCATTGTCCTCTGACCAGGAAGGTCTTGGGTCACGACCCACAAATGATAGATGCTATACAGGTTTTCATATCTCAGGTGTTGAATGTTTTCCGGGGCTGTTTCTATCATGTGTTAGATGTTACAGAGCTTGTCTTCCTTCCCATGTTAGATGTTATGTATGGTCCCTTCTATGTCTTACATATGTCTGTCCTTCTATGTCTTACATATGACATGATATGGCTAAGTGTATGTTGGCTTTGGTTGAGGTTGAAGGATGTTTCCACCACATGGATCCAAGTGCACTGAGCCACACTGTGCAGTGCTAACAACCTTCTTTTTCTAAGAGCCCAACACTCTCTTCTAGGTGGTCTTTTTGGTGGGCTTTCACGTTTCCTCTACGTCTGTTCTGGGAGACTCTCTGCTGATGGTGGCCAATATAACCAGGTACTGGTCCCCAATCATGTCTGGTTCTTTGTGTGTTGGTTTCCAGGTCTCTGTGTTAAATTGTTATGTTCCCTGCAGTGATAACACAGACTCTGCCATCAATCGAAGGATGTCCTCAACAAGAGTAGATGTGCTGTATGCCATCTATGTCACCATCACCGGGTGAGTGTGTCCAGACCAGCAGAAAGTAGACTTGTGCTGGGTCAAAAAATGTGTTCCGTTTCGTTTCGTTCCATTTCGGAATATCTGTTATTTCGTATTTCGTAATTCGTGTCCGAAACTCAATTCGGATTCGTACGAAATACGGATTTTCGTTAGTTTCGGCACATTTTCGTAACTTTACGAACATTCGTTATGATGAAGTTAAAAAGCAAAATACCTTTGTTAATATCGGAGTCGATGTGGTAGTTGTTCTTTTATCCAAAATACGAATTCCGTTAACGGATTCCGGATCCGAATTTCGCATTTCGGATAAAAAAAAAAAAATACCATCAACTCCAATATAAATGTATTTTGCTTTTTAACTTCAATATAACGAATGTTCGTAACGGAACAAAAATACGTCAACGGAATTTCGTATTTCCTGCCTGTGTATTGTAATGCGACTCTCAGCAGCAGCGGATCCGTATTTCGGATAAAAAAAAAATCTTGTCATGTTGTTCCACCTCATTTACAGGGGTAATATTAGTTCCCGTTTCAAAGAAATTCGGATCCGAAATTCGTTAACGGAATTTCCTATTTCGGATATAATTCGGAAACTGCCATTCGGATTTCGGATGCTTCCGAATTAACGAATTTCAGGAAAATTTGTACGAATTTCGATTCGTAACGAAACTAATCGCACGTGCCTAGCAGAAAGAAGGATTCAATGTTCCGACAGTTAGAGGCTGAGCAATGATGAAGTTATAGAGCTGCTCCACCCTGTTACACATCTAGTTGCTGTGATACATTGTACAGCAGAAGAAATGCTCGGACAGCTGAGAATCACACTGTAGAAGGCTTCTTATACACTGAATACTCTTAAATATTTGGGACTGTGCCACAAGATAACAGTTACAAACCATGGTGACACCCTACATACAAGTTCTTCCTGTTTTTGTTCTCCTTCCATCAAACTAGGGAGATAGCAGATGGACGAGTGTTGCTCTCAATAAACTCCATAACCAACCCCACCCTACCCTAGATCTGTTACTGGGTTTATCTGCAGAGGTCCACATGTGGCCTGACAAGGGGAAGGATACACCACTAACTGACCACATTCGGTACATTTTGGCATTGTGCTCCCCCAGGTCTACAATTGTCTTATGGTAAACACAACCTTACTTGACATGTAGAAACCAGAAGAACTTCTGTACTACTGACACATATATATCTGTATGCACTCCATGGACTCTCCTTGGTTGCCTGACAGACTGCAGATTAGAGATCCGGTAGCTGCACTGTCCTCCCACCATCAGGGCCTGCGGGGGACCCTTGTTTACTCCACAGTAATTCATTGTTGTGTTTCAGCCTTGAAGAGTCCAGCAAGTACCATAACTTCACATCTGATGACTCCACCATACAGCACATCTACAGGGTAAGAGCCTATATGCAGCACATGGTGTGGTTCAGTTCCATGTGATGTTGGAGTGTAATAATGTGACCACAGCTTCTTTATAGACGTACATAATTCAGCATTTGTTACACCTGTAGAATTATTACTCCACCCAAAGGTAACATTTAGTTATAGCTAAAGCACGGCGGGTGGAGAGAGCCTCTGACTGTACTGAAAATGCCAACATTGAGATTTCCCATTGGGACCTCTCAAAATCCCCCAAATGGCGTGTCCCCATACCCCCCTTGTGTTCCATCCCCTCATGGGATCTCCCTGTTTCCCTCTATGTGTTCCTTCCCCCTTGGGGTAACTCCACCCACACTGCACATTCCCTCCACCTATGGAGTTCTCACCCCTCTCCTCCATGTTTTCCTGTTTCCATGGGTGTCCCCACTCCCTCTGCTGTTCCCTTCCCCTTGGAGTGTCCTTGATCCTCGCTATGTGTTCCCACTCTCATGAAGTGTTCCTATTCCTCTCTTTGTGTCCCTGCCCCCCTCTATTTGTCCCCACTCCCTCTGGTGTTCCCTTCCCCTTGGAGTGTCCTTGATCCCCTCTATGTGTTCCCACCCCCAAGTAGTTTCCCTCCTCCCCACTATGTGTTCCTACTCTCATGAAGTGTTCCTATTCCTCTCTTTGTGTCCCTGCCCCCCTCTATTTGTCCCCACTCCCTCTGGTGTTCCCTTCCCCTTGGAGTGTCCTTGATCCCCGCTATGTGTTCCTACTCTCATGAAGTGTTCCTTTCCCCCTCTATGTGCTCCTTCCCCCTTTGGGTAACTCCACCTGCTCTGCACATTTCCCCTCCACCTATGGAGTTGTCACCCCTCTCCTCCATGTGTTCCTGTTTCCACGGGGTGTCCCCACTCCCTCTGCGGTTCCCTTCCCCTTGGAGTGTCCTTGATCCCTTCTATGTGTTCCCACCCCCAAGTAGTTTTCCTCCTTCCCGCTATGTGATCCTACTCTCATGGAGTTTCTCTCCTCCCCTCTTTGTTTCCAACCCTATTGGGTGTTACTGCTCCCCTGTCAACAACCCCCTGCTGCTGCGCATGCGCAAAGTCCCGTTTTCCGTACCATTGGGAAACGTGCACTTCCGCGCACGCGGCACGGACCGGCCGCGAAAAAGGTTACTCTACTCTACTTCAGCACCTGGATTTCAGCTTGCACGGTGTTATCACCAGGGCCGCCATCGGGGGGGGTACAGCCAGTACTGTTGTAAGGGGCCCAAGCGTCCAAGGGGGGGGGGGCTTCAAGCTTTCATTTTTTCTTATAGAA